CCTTATAACCACAAAGTCATGGGTTCGGATCCCCAGTCCAACTAGCTGCCAATATATATATCTCCAATCATGAGCAAAACAAGGAATGCAGAGCTCTTTCACATTAAATATGTTCAAATACTACTTAACATATACCTTATTATATATATATATATATATATATAATAAGGTATATGTTAAGTAGTATTTGAACATATTTAATGTGAAAGAGCTCTGCATTCCTTGTTTTGCTCATGATTGGAGATATATATATTGGCAGCTAGTTGGACTGGGGATCCGAACTCATGACTTTGTGGTTATAAGGCTGCACTCTAACCAGTTTAGCTAATCACCCAGCTCTGGATATGTTGATCATGATACATGTCCATGGGAAAAGTTTTAGGGTCACAGTCATGAAATTTAAATCACTCTCCCTCTGATTGTTTCTTCAAAAGTGTCTGAAATAATCTAAGTGAATGACAAGCAGTTTTTTTTTTTTTGTCTTTCTGTTTTGTTTTTTAACTCATCTCAATATAAAAATGACATGTTGTCTCTCTGGTTAAATCTTAATTTCTGGCATGATTATTTTAATCTTTCTGTTTTTGTTGCTTATGAAAAGCAGTAGTTATTAACCTCATTTTGCACTTAGTGCTCATATTTCTATATGTGCAACATAAATACATATATGCTTGTGTGTATATGCTCATAAAGATAACTAATAAAGTGGGGATGCCACATGTAGTAAGTATCCAGCCTGTTCTTGAATATGAAGCCAGTGTACAGATGTTCTAGAAGGAAGATGCCTGATTATTACAAAGATGTCATTGCTTATTTTAGTTTTTAAACAAAGTTGAACTTACATTAAGCCTGAGTTACTATCCCAGATATATCTGTGCTGATATTCATTTGCCGTAGAAAATTTAGCATATGGTGAGTCCACTTCCTTTTGCAAGGAGTTTAGTTGTCGATGAACAAAATTGCCTTGCTATGAGGTGGTCTCACTTATGGGAACATTATCAGGACTTTCTGTGAGTGTTCGTACCAGGCTGGAAGAGATTCCTAGAAATTCCTTCCTTGCCTTAGTGGAATATACAACACCCCAACAGTAAAGTGTTATATTTTGGTAGTAATTCTTTTCCTTAGGAAGATAATTAATGTTCATTTTAGATGACATCCTTTAAGAGGTTGTTGGAAAATGCTGTACCTCATTTGTTTTTAATTTTATATAACTTATTCTTAAATTTATTGCTGCATGTCTTTTTGTTTGTGTAGTTGGAGTTAAGGATAGCTAGGAAGTTGCCTTTGGAGCCTTTTGAGTATTTTCCTGTGTTTAAATTCAGCTCATTATCTTTACTGTCTATCTAGTTTATGTATTCAGCTACTTCTTTTGAGAAGCTCTTGTCCAACAGAGAACTTTAATTCTCTTGAGAGGGTCACCTTTCAATTAAATTTTAGTATTTATAACCTGACTCAGGTTGTTCTTTAAAGGCTTTGAAAGCCATTTGTGGTTGCTTTGAATATTTAAATATTTATTTAGGTAAAGTAAAATGAAAGTCTTTAATGAACTTGAAAGCATTAGATAAAAGGTACTGTGTAATTACAGAGTTGTTAATAAAAACTTAGTTTGAAAATTGTTATTGCACCTATCAAGCCACCATTCTCTTAGCTGATTTGAAATATGAGAAAACTTAAGTGGCTTTATCAGAAGTTACTTGTCTTAAGTCTGTTATGTTAACATTTAATTTCTTTTTCAAATCAGGCATCTTACATTTTACCTCAAAGTGAGTAATTTTAGGTTAAAGAAATTAAGAACTTAGGTTGCCTGACATAAGTTATGGACTCCTAAACATAAATAAGCTCGTGTTCTAGATTCCCTGGAGACTCTATGTCATTGATTAAAGGTAGTATTAAACCATATTTTTAATATTTTTGACTCTTTTTTTTATCACTTTTTAAATGTAGTAGTCTAGTTCTTTCAGTTTAAGTTGTAATAAAGACAAAGGGTATTGACAGAATGAAGAATATACCCACTGTACCTAGTGAATCTTGGATAAGATATTTTTATTTGTGACTCCTTGGGATTGCTCAGGGGACAGTCTCTTTACCCCTCTCATATTTCTTCTCTTTCTATTCTGTGAATGATCAACCTTACATGGTTTCCTGCATGGAAACCAAGAAGGGGTGGTTCAGCATTAAGCTGTAATATTGACGAGCAGGTTCTCATTACTATAATTACAGCAGTATTAAGTAACGTGGTTTGAACATGTGACACCAGTGTGTGCTTGTTTTAATTTTAAGCACAAAGCATTTAAGTTTATTTTTGTTTTTTAAATTTTACATTTTTTATATTTATATTTGTTATTTTTGATGTAAAGTACATTTAATAAAATCTGTAATATGTTGGGTTTTATTATCTTTTAAAATCTTAAAGGGCTTTCACATAAATTATCTCATTTGTCCTTTCAAAAGCATTAGGGAGGAGTCAGTGTCAACTCTCTTTTCAGATGGAAAAACTGATGCACAGGGAGGTTTGACTCCTGCCTGTAGTTTTCAGTCCTTGGCAGAGCTGAGAATAGAGAGCTTGGATATTCTGTTTTGCAATTCATATCACTTTCCATGAATCAATGCTGAATTTCATTTACACTTGAATTTTTCACTTAGTTGAAAGCGTCCAGAAAATATGCTATTTTTGTTGGTAATGAGGTGATATTATCCTCTAGTCCAAGTGGTATTCCTTGTGAAATGTGGATGGTTCTATTTTTATCATGCTGCCTTTAAAAACATAAAGAACCAAGACTGGCAAATAAGTAGACAGTACAGAAAGAGTACTAAAGTGTTGTAAATAGTCTGATTATAGTAGTCATATTTGCATTTAAGTTGTATCAAATAAAGTTCTTTATTCTTTTACTCAAGTATGCCTTGTTTGTTAAACTGTAAATCTTCATTGGGAAATAGAGAATTAAACACTTCACCTGAAAAGTGAATCAGTTTTGAGAGTGGGGTGTGTGTGACAATTCAGTTCCTTTAAAACATGGCTTTTAAAGTATTATACTGAAATATCCATCATTAAAGATTTTATTTGCCTAAAACTTTTATTTTAAAATAAATAATCTGTATTTTAATGATAAACAGTGCTTTATTAGTATTGCTATGCTCTTATATAATTTTTACAATTCATACTTTATATAGAGCTAGAGAGTAAGTTCTTCTCCCTGAATTTCATAGTTATTCCTAAGATGTGTGTCTTTTGTACTCATTGAAATAATTGTAGGGAGAGGAGATTGATGTAAAAGTTTGTGTCAAGTTA